GCATTTCAGAAGAGTTGATAGGTGGCTAATTATCCTTAGGTGACCCATGATTTACTTGAAATGGAATCCTCTTCATACTCATTTTCCTGCTCCTATTGTTAGAGATGTCTATCAGCCTCTCAGGGTACTTGCTCTGAGTGACCTGTTCTTTCCCGACACTTGCTGCCAGCTCCTTCCCCTTTTTTCCTGTTTATCTGCTTCTCATTTCCTACCATTAAGACTGGATTATCACACAGAGACATAGAAGATTTGATGGTTCCTTTCCCTTCAAGGACTCTTAAGTAATATTTCTATTGTAGTTGCTAATTAGCCTGTTCTGGGGGAAGCTTTATGCTCCTTTTCCATTTGTGTTCTTTTCTGAAGAAATGCTGGTAAAACTTCTTATATCACATTCCAAAACCAAATCTTTGAGGCAGAATTTCCTTCCTAGACTCTTCGTGAGGAGCACGGGCATAAAGCAGGCATTACACCTTGAACAGGATGCCTTACACTTCCCTGTTCCTGCCTGTTTGGTTAATTTTAGGGAGCTGTTTCTGGATATCCTGCCATAAGAAACAAAAGGTGGTGAAGCCAAAGCCATTAGTGAACAGGCCAGTGAGAAGCAGACCTGCAATCTCTGGGCTTGCAGGAAGGTCCAAGCTCGCTGATGATAAAGAAGCAGCTCTGAAAGGTACTCAGAAAGAACCTTATTCACAGAAAGAACCCTATTCAGAGAGCCACGGCCTGGCATAGGGCAGCCAGAGGGAAGTGGGAAATGGCTTATTTGGGGAGTTCACAAAACTGAGCCGGTGCTCATACAAGCCTGTCCATCAGCTCAGGGTGCGAAGAAGCAAGGTTAGATCTGGTAACAGGCTCAGTAGGTGTCATTAATGTGCTCTCTGTGAACAAGACCCTCCCAGGGCTCCAGGTTTTGTATGCAGTGTCTCAGACACAATTCTGGTGCGTGCCTTGTTACACAAAGGGTTCGTGTGTCCCTTTCTCAGCCTGAACCTCTGGGTTGAGTTGGTGCCTCCTTTGTCTCCTGCAGCAGTCTAGCTACTAGACAGTAGCTCTGTCAGAGCTGAAGGAGTGGGCCTGCTCCAGCACATGGGCTGAAGCTGCAGTGAGCAGGTCTGCCTTTGGACCAGGAGGAGCCAGCGAAGCTGTGCCTGTGCTGGGCCTGGAGGGCACATGAGCAAACTGCCCTGGCCCAAAGCTCATGTAACAAACCTTGTGCAACCTGACAGCATGGGTGTATGTGAGCTGCTGCAAAAGGACAGCGCTGATCCCCTGCCTGGGGGAGCACTTCTGCCCTGGGATCTCCCATAGACTTTCTACAAGGCATTTCTGGGGATACTCACCCTTTGGAGAAACACCTTCACTGACAAACACACCTACTTAATACACTCTTTTAAACTTGCTGGTAGGTTTTGCTCTTCAGTGTGGTGTTGATCTTAAGGGAATGAACTAAGCTGAAAATCAGGAGACCTCATTTTACATAAGCCCAGGTCTCTTCATGTCCATGCTGGACTCCACGTTTCTGTAAGCTGCTGCCATATGTCAAACCCAAGCTCCAGTACAAGTGCTTAAGCCACTGCTGTGTGACCCAGGAGAGGTGAAGGAAGAAGGCAGCAAAACTACACATCCGGCAGACTAAACCTGTGTTGCTCACTGAGTAATGGAAGGGGCACAAAAAACACACTCAGGTGCTTGGCTTGACCCCAAAACCAGCAAACTGGAAGCAAACGGGATACAGACAGCTGGTAACACGGGTAACACATGAAGAAAGTGGCACCAGAGATGGGTGGATCTCTCTTGTCCTCCCCATTTGTGACAGGAAGCACAGTGTTTGAGATGATCAAGCAGCATTACTTTCAGTTGGCAGCAGCACTCTGAATCACAAGCAGTTGCAGCTGAACCACCCAGCACCACTGGCTTTGTGCAGACTTGCCCTTGCAATGACATCCGACCAGGCAACTCTTGCCTTTCCCTCCTCCCTGCAGCTTTCCAGCCACCTGCTGCTGCTTTCAGCTTTCTGCTGCTATATATGTCCTTTGTAATCTCTTCTGAATCCTGCCTGCATTTTGTGGAGGGAAGATGAAACTGGATTTGTTTTCAAGCCAAGTTTTCTAAGGAAGAAAGTTCTTTGTGGTGTCCAGCCACAAAGGTTTTACCTCCCCTTCAGCCATATATGAGACAGGGGAAGTGACCTGAAAGAGTGGAAGCTTCTACAAGCAAGAGAAGATTTGTAAGTCAGACACTTAGTTGGGAACATAATGGTGCCATTTGTTGTCAGGACCATGATGGACAGGAGGATATTACAGTAGGATATTACATGTGCATGGGGGGGGGGGGGGGGGGGGTGTGCAACTAGAAAAATGGGGAAGCACTCCAGAGACAAACAGGCTCAATTCATTCTGCTGTTCACAGAGCATCTACAGACCATACAACTAAGGGGGGCGTGTGGGGAGGAACAGATCCTGCAGCAGAGTGTGTCTGCAGAGTGAGCGCACAGCATCACAGTGTGCCATCTGATGGGACCACTCTGAGGCAGCATCCCAGCATCAGTTTGGTTAGCCTCCAGCACAATACAGAATTACACTATACAACAAATTGAGAAAAGCTAAGATAAATACAGCAGCACATTTTCATTCATGCACTATGCTGATTAAGCATCTTGCAGGAGTAAAATATTCCAGTATTCCAGGACTTACAGAGCTGTGCACCTTCCTCTCCCTTTTGGTATAAATGTGGCTTTTAAAGCATCCTTAAATTAGATCTTATTTTGTCCTAGCATCCTTCCCCTTTCTGTGTTCACAGGGTTCTTTAGGCTGTAAGAGAGACCTCTTGCTTCCACAGTTGAAAAGACATCTTGGCACCAGGCTCCGTCACTGCTGACCTGCAGGGCTACATCGCTGTCGGTAGGGGTGGTCACCTTCGCACCCACCCAAGCAACATGAATTAACAGGAGCACGTTGCCTTCACAGAGGAGCTGGCAATTCCAAATAGCTAAAGGTTCCAGGGGAAAAGACTCTCATTTGAGATTCTTCTGTTTAAAAAGAGCTTATGCAATCCCAGGCACAGCTACAGGTGGGGCAGAGAGGAGATTCAGAGCAGCCCGAGAAGGCCTTGGGGGTGTTGGTTGATGAGAAACTGAACATGGAGCTGCTTCAGTGTGTGCTTAAGCCCAGAAACCCCCTGTATGCTGGGCTGCATCAAAAGAAGCGTGACCAGCGGGTCGAAGGAGGTGATCCTGCCCCTCTACTCTGCCCTCGTGAGACCCCACTTGCAGCACTGTGTGCAGTTCTGGTGTCCTCAACATAACAAGGACATGGAGCTGTTGGAGCAAGTCCAGAGGAGGTCATGAGGATAATCAGAGGCTGGAACACCTCCTTTATGAAGACAGGCTGAGAAAACTGGGGCTGTTCAGCCTGGACAAGAGAAGCTGTGTGGAGACCTCAGAGCAGCTTCCAAAATACGTACAGGAAACTTTCCCCTGCTTTCCATAGGGGATGTTTTCAAAGGGAAACCAATTCCTATGTGGTACACCTCGTAAAAGAGAAGGACAAGAGAAAACAAAGGCTGAAGCTCTTCCCTTCCCCTGCTCTTTACTACTGTGCTTACCCCTTGTCTGTAGCCAAATGTCCTGCTGCTTGGCTGCCTACCCCCAGCCAAAGGCTATGGAGGAGTTGGTGGGAAGGTGACTAGACACCTGGTAGCACATTCTTGCCTTCTGAGATCAGCACAGCACACTCGGCCACTGTTGGAAGCAAGCACTGGCACCAGACCAGCCACATCAGTACAAGGTGACACATGAGCTTGTTAGCTGTGCCAAGTGGAAGGAGTTACTAGCCTGAACAAACTGCTCTGCTAATGCAGTTTTAGGGAGGCAGGCTGAAGCTCTGCATGGACCTGGTCATTCAGATGGGGACAAAATGGGTGCCTGGCACCACAGATGCTAGTTTTTGGGGTAACAGAGTCCCACCTAGTCCTGACTCTCCTCCTGGACCCGAGTTCTACTGATCTCAAGGAGACTTGCATTTCACTAACAATGCAAAGGAAAAGCTGCAGTATTTCTCACCTCACCAAGTGGTTTTTAGACTGGAAAATAGCAAGATGATTCAACTTACAAACAAACAGTTATGTGACAGAGCAGCTTTCAGTTAAGGAAGCCAAAGGATGACTCAAAAGATCAATCCCATGCTCCAAAAGGAGATTTCTGTCTAGATGGTTTCGGAGCATTCATAGCAACTGATAGCTTGCAGTCAGTCAGAAGCAATGGTATAAATGTGTAGGCACTATGGTTATGGTAGCCCATCCCAACCTTGGCATTCCTGCCTCTGCAGGAACTGGGGGACATCTTCCAAGCATTTTTAACTGTTACTTCACAAAATACAAGACTAGAAGCTTTCTTCACTTCCCAAAGTTACCACTGGAAAAAGAAATTGCAGAGGTGTCAATGAATACTTGAGCAGGTCCTCTTTTGAATCCCATTCTAAATCCGTATCAAACACCCCCAGATTGAACATTTTAAAACAGAAAAACATTAAACCAACTTGACTCTTAAATCTAGTTTTGAGACTTGCAGGTATTTTCTTCCCCAAACATGCAGATTTTATCTCCATTATAAAAGGTTTTGCCCAGATCTGCTACACCATTAAGGAACCGATGTATCAGCATTTCTTCAGTCCTAGATTTTATTGTTAATCATTAATAATAAAATAATGGCTACTTTAAAAAGTCAAATAAACCCAATATAAAAATACAGCCATTAGAGTATTACATACACCTATAACAAAACAGCTTAATAGAGTCGCACTCACATCAGTTTTCTGTTGTATCAAAGAAAGCATACCTTAGTACACAGCAAACAGAGATTCTGATTTCAACTTCAAATAGTCACTTTGGATTTAGTATAAAAATATTAAATGGGATCTTTAAAAAGCAATCCTTGAGTCCAGACGTAATTCCTGATATAGAAAACAACTTCTAGGAGCAAGTGTAAACCATAGAAGGAACAAGTTATTTCCATCCCGTGTGAATACATGAACCAGGAAGTTTCACATGGAATTTCCAATACCTCCTGTCTTCAGCACATCTAAGCACAGGTATCAGATGCTCAGCTCTATTACTGCAGCAACCTGAGTTTACACTTGCAAAAGAGTTATTTGGTGTAAAGACCTGATGTCACAGCAGCATGTCTACCTCAGAAACTCATTCCCAGGAAGTTTCACATGGAATGTGAATGGCATTGACAGGAAAGCACTTCAGAATTAAACTGTACATCTGGAGAGGAGGACTACTATGACCTAGTGTGGTTCATAAAGAAACCATACAAAATACAGGACTTGAGTGCAGCTTGCTTTATGTGACGTGCATTGACAATGCAAACCAGCCTTCCTCTTTGTGCTTTTCCACCTGCACAAAGAAGAAATCAGTTGAAACTCATATCATAAATTTCCCACAGACTTGCTAGTTAGTTCTGGCTTGCGTAGGGCTGGTACATATCAGTTCACCAATACGTAGCAACTGTCTGCCATTGCCACCATGAAGGGAGTCACACCACCTACTTTAGACACCTAGCTTAAGCCACATCTACCTTAGGTATTCCAAATTTCCCCTCAGGGGATGTGTGCTTTGCTATCAGGACAGGCAGTCTTGGACCCCAACTTGTTTATCTCTCCTAGTTTAGGTTGTTCTGGACATCAGGAAAGATGGTTAAAATCTCCTCATGGTTGCTTTCAGACGTATAAACAGATGTATGACTGATTCACCAGACTGTGCTACTGCCTGGAGTTCCCCATGAAAGCATTTCACTGTAGTCTATCTTCTTTGCACATCAGGAATCAGAAATCTAGATTAGGGATTTTTCTTTACATTTGGATTTATTGATCCTTAAGCAACTAACTTGTGCAAAGCTAGGTAAGAGCTCGCTGTCCTCTTACATGTAGCTTTACCAGCACAGCATAATGATTACTTGAAATTCTCAAGCCACCAGTAAAAGACTGCCAGAGGTTCCCAGTTCTAATGCAGGAAGATGCCACAGCAGAAAATGTAGTTACAGGATTACTCACTTCTAAGTAACAGCTCTGTGGCAGCAAACAACTAATGTCACTAGCACTGCACTTAGGGCTTCCCTTACCAATTGTCCAGAATTCTTCCCTGTGAGGGTGCTGAGGCCCTGGCACAGGGTGCCCAGAGAAGCTGTGGCTGCCCCATCCCTGGCAGTGTCCAAGGCCAGGCTGGACGTGGCTTGGAGCAACCTGGTCTATTGGAAGGTGCCCCTACCCATGGCAGGGGGTTGGAACTGGGTGAGTGTTAAGGTCCCTTCCAACCCAAACCAGTCTGGCATTCTATGAATCCAAACCACCATCAATTGATTACTATTCACCTCAGTAGTTTTAAGATAGGACAGAGCTCTCTCCCCTTCTTTACCAGGCTTGCTTTTTCCTTATAGGACAACCACAAGCAAACCTTCTGGCTGAAGACTTTTCAGTCTTACCTTTGGCCTTTGGCTGACAGGAGTTGATTTCACACTTTCTGATGTGGCACTCAGGGGTGAACAAGGTTTGCTAGAGTCTCCTACTGACCTGTAGACATTGAAAAGGAGATTGAAAAAGTGAAAAATGGAAGTGACTATTAGAATTATGTGTCAAATCCTGAGTTAGGACCCCTCATCAGTAGCCTTCAACAACCCGGGTCATCTGGGTTATGTTGCACTGCAGGTATCTCAAATACAAACAATGGAAGTTGTGAAAAAGCTATTGGACCTTTGTCCCATATCCATAGAGTTGAGTGTGATGAAGTCAGGGGAAGTCCATGAAGCCAAAGAAAAAACATGGCAATTTTTCCATTGTGAACAAGTTCAGCTGCATGGGTAATCAAAACACCACAAAAATGAAATAGTAAAGGGTTAACTTTTACCTTCTTATACTGACCATACTGGCAGAGGAAACACTGTCTTCTTTGGAGCTGTCCATAGCAGCTGCCACAGGAACAGACACTTCAATTGTCCTCCTGGAATTTTCTAGGCAATAAAGAATAGCTTGATTCTGATGAGAACACAGCAACATCACACAACTGTCACTTAATTTTCCCATTTTTTTGAGGGCATCACATATCTCTCCATCATTGCACAGAATATACAGATGAGACATAAAACACCAGGCTAAACATCAACCCCATACCCAGTCTCTGAAAACAACAGCTATTGAAGGCTGATACTCAGAGCAACTAGGGACAATGTGCACAGACATAGAATGATTCTTCCATAGATAAACCTTCTGGGTTTGGCAGTCAAAGGCATAAAGAATTCTGATTTCTCTACTTTGTTCTTTTAAGATTTTACTTATCTTGCTGAACTTACGTTACAACAACAGTAGAAGTGTTAGAACTGTTATGATCCCACAGCACGAGTCATTGCATATGCACCTGCATGTATATGCACACACCCATGCCCACTCCTCCCCCCTCCTTTCTCTCCCCCTCAAGTCCTTTCCTTTATACATCCTCTGTGGTTTAGGAAGGGGAAAAGGGTAGGTGTCCTAGACACAGCATGTCTACATGCTCACGTTCTGCCCATCATTACAATGACTCCATGAAAAGATATAGCAGCCCTCACCTGCTGGAAAGCATTTCTGTTTATAGTTACACATGGAAGCTTATCTACGAGTCTTGATTTAGCAAGAATATTCTCTTTGCTAATTTACCTCTTCAGATGACTGGAAAGCTCCAGTTATTTCTTTCTATTAGCACTGGCAGTAACTCAGCAAGGTAGTCTAATGGAAAGAGCACCCAAAATACCAAAAACTAAAAGTGCTTGAAAACTGGATAACCACTCTACCATGATGTTTAGAAACCTAATGTAAATACTTAATCTTATCATAGACTCATAGAATGGTTTGGAAGGGACCTTAATGCTCACCCAGTTCCACCCCCCTGCCACAGGCAGGGACACCTTCCACTAGACCAGGTTGCTCCAAGCCCTGTCCAACCTGGCCTTGAACACTGCCAGGTATGGGGCAGCCACAGCTTCGCTGGGCACCCAGTGCCAGCGCCTCAGCACCCTCACAGGGAAGAGCTTCTGCCCAAGATCTCATCTCAGTCTCCCCTCTGGCAAGTTAAAGCCATTCCCCTTTGTCCTATCACTACATGTCCTTGTATAAAGTCCCTCTCCAGATTTCCTGTAGGCCCCTTTAGATACTGGAGTCTTTTAATAAAAGATTCTCCAGCAGAGAGGACTGATTAAAAAGCCTAGTTCTGCCCATCCGTGACCATGTGGCAGAGCTGTTCTGCAGACAAGGATGTAGCAAACAACAGATTTACCATGAAGCGTGATATTTGCAGCAGGCTGATTACTAAGAAACTAACTTTAGGAGAAATTTCGCTGACCTGTTTTTGGCTCTCTGAAGTAAGGAGTGTTTGTACCACAGAGACATTAGCAGCCACTGTACTGCTGACCACAACTGCTGATCCAATCGCAAAAGGACAGAGAACTCTCAAAAGCGGAAAAACATTGTCTTATTAGTTTTGTTTACTCCTGAAGCTGGGTACTTACCAGGAAAATTTAGGGATTGGGGCAGAACAGGAGATGTCATTGGAGGGACCATATCAGCAGCAGCTAACTTCTGCTGCTCTATTAGCTGCAACAGTTTATCACGTGCTTCCGTACTCTGACGATTCAGCTCTGCTATTCTTTCCTCCAAGCTCTTTGATGCCATGAGATGAATCTACTTGGATAAGGACTTCCAATTAAAAACTTACAATTTGCACCTTCAAGGAGAGTATACAGTGTACTTCAAGTACCTCTGTGGATTTCATTTGCAAACTGAAAGTAAACATAATGATATAGCACCTCATTTTGTCCCTTCCACTGTCCTGTGTCTAGTTCCTTCATTGACTAAACACAACAGTGTTTTAAACTGGTCTTCCTACAGATAGGGAAAAAACCCAAACAACTGTTGTCTGCATCATTTAAGGGAAAAAAGAAAAATGAAGAAACCCCAACCATCCAGCAATTAACCATCATTAAGAAAGTATTTACTCAGAGATACACATATTCAGGAGGGTACGGAGAAACAAAACCCTGGAACTCATCTTTAAGCCAGGTTTTCATTCACTTTGACCTCTTCCCCTTCAGAACTGCTTCCACAAAAACACCACTTCAAAAAGTTTGCATCATTTTGCATGACTAAATGAGTAAATATTACACAACATAATAGAATGGGGAAAGGAACAACACTCCCAGCCTGCATTTACATGAGGAGTTAAAATCTTTAGGATCCTTAACTGAACAGTAATTCAGCCACTGTGATGGAACCAAAGTAAAGACAGTAGCAAGGGCAGGGATTAGGCATTTCTATGATGTTCATTCCACTCAGGGGCACCACTGAATAGCTGCTTAGTTTCAGATTAAAAGGTTTTCTATGTGAACCAAAGCCTTTAAGTTCTCCCTTTCCCAACAATCTTGGGCTTTTCACCACACAGCAGGACTAACAAGGCAGACCCAATTAGTACATACACTATAATCAAGTATTTGCAAGAGATGTATCTGCACTAACTTCAATCACATGGGCTTTAGGGTCATAGTAGCAGAAAAAATCTTTTGCATGGGTTTAAATATGTAATTTACAAGCTTGACAAGAACCTGTGGGTTGGTGCAGTGCTTTCACTAGTATTATCCAACATTCAAGAGGATGACATTGCAATCACACTTCTTTTTTACATCATAATCTTATCCTAAACTTACAAATGTGCTGCATACTTTCCAGCACTCAATATACAACATAAGCCCAATATAAGAAACTACTGTTAAGCTCCTAGGGAAGGATAAAAATCACAAGCCTCCAAGCAAATGAATTAAAAGAATATTTGGTTTGCTGCTCTTTACAACAGAAAAGGAACAGTATTAAAGCATCAGTAAGCTACAGGAAAGCAGATCAGCAGAAAGGGGAATCCATAATTTACGTTACATTCTCACCTGTCCTTGTGAAGAGGCTGGACTAGGATTTGCATTTTGTAGTGGGTCTAACTGATGTAGGTAGTCACTTGTGTCTTCAGAGAAGCCTCTGAATTTGCTGAGTTGAGCTTTAATGAGAGAGTTCTGCCGCGTGAGCTCAGCTATCTGTCCCAGCAGATCACTGTTTGGAAGTAACTCTTCAGCTGGGCTGCTTTTCCTAGTGTCAGAGGGGCAGGACACACTGCTTTTCTCATGGGAACTGTCCAGATCTCTGTCTCCAGGAGGAACCGGCTGCCTTTGAGAGACGAGACAGTTCTCAGCTGTGCTCTGTGCTCTCAGGGAGGAAGGTGAGCTCCTTTCCTTGCACGGTTCTCTTTCAGTGTTTTCAGGAGACTGAGGAATGACTGTGAATGCTGCAAACAAGAAACAAAAGAACAGTAGGGAAACAGACATGTGATCCTCATCAAGGAAACTGACAGTGACTTTACTGCATCAGGTTAGTTACAATCAAGCAGGCATTTGGATTGTAACATCTAGCTTGAATGGTGTTATGTTACTGATCAAAAATCATCTTATCCAAGACTCTGCTGGAAGAACTCACCAGGTTTAACATTTCCTATTATAAGCAGTCTTACATTTAAATGTTTTAATTAGAGATTGAGAGAGAAGTCAGAGAGAAGATAAATTGGTTTGAATTTCTTAGCTGATAGATCAAACACCACTTCTTAGTTAGTTCTCCATTTCCCAAAATACACTTACTTTACCTAATGGATCGTAACTTTGCGTTTCAGCTCGGATATTTATACTGAGTTGGGAATGAAACTTATAGAATAATAAAATGAAATAATACAGACTTTTGGCATAATAAACTGGCTACTTACTCAGCCTCTAGGAAAGGGACTTCCACACTCTGGCCTCAATAGTGGTGTAGTCATCATTAATAACAGGTAACACACCACACACTAAGCATGTTACTGCACTGTCAGCTGCTACATTTTAAATCCAAGCTGGATTTTGTGATCAAACGCAGATTTCCTACATTTTATATACCAAATAGCCTATCCCTTCCCAAGCTTTAGCTTTTGCCTCTTGAGCAGAGCATGACATTTAAAAAGTTACACACAAATCCGCTTTACAAATTGTTTTTCATAAAGAAACATTCAAGAAGTTTAACACTGGTTAAGTCATTTAGCATCCTTCACTGTCTTAAAAGAGTAACAATACACTTCTACAAAGCTGAACTGTAGCCAAGCCCAGGAATACAGTCTTATATTCTTGTTTCAAATAACAGTGTCTGACAGTTCTCAATGGGACTGAAACTAGATGCTGCTCTTTGCAGAACACTACCTGTAGCTCATATCCTCCTGATGTGCCTTCTCACTCACAGCAGCCCACCAGAAGGTTAAGTTAGACAGAATCTTTCAATTACCCTGCTAACTCCTTAGAAATCAAAAGGACTCTTGGGTTATTTTTCTGACTTGGAAAAGACTTACAAAGCCACACAGCTGAGGCGTGGAGATATAAAACCCACCACTTCACCCTGCTTCTGGTCAGCACAGAGGATTACACAGGCCTAGCACATCCAGTAAGATGCATGTGGTTACAATGACAATTGCAGGAGGAAACAGCTGATTTGGGGAGTCACAAAGGGTCCTAAATACCTTCCCTAATTACCCCTGATGAACTTTCTTCCTCCTAACAACCAGAATTGAGTGTATGACCTGTAAAACTCCTGAAACCTGTGGATGCTGATACAAGGCTGAGTTATTCTGGTTATCCTGCACCACCCAAATTCACCCCAAACTTCTTCAAGCCACTTCCTGTGTATTAAATGAAAGCAAACAGAAATCTGCTCCCAAAGCTTTTAGAAAAAGCTCTGATGGGAAGATTGGCTCAAAGCAAGAATATGCAACCTAGAGACACCCAGGTTTGCCTGCAGCATAGAATGCATAGGCATTGAATTTACAGCCTTCAGTGGTCCCACTGTTACAGGTGATGGAGGCTGGATTACACCAACAGCAGATGGCAATCTTGAGGTGATGTGATGATATCAAAGAGCTACAGCAATAATACAGAAGTGACAATCAAAACCAGTACAAAATAAAAATGCCAGTCTGGATGGCCACTGACAGGACCACAGGCAGCAGACGGAGAACTGCAGGAGACAGAAAGTCTAAAGGAAATCTAGCAAAAGGCATACAAAGCAAAGAAATGCATACGTGGATGCACAAGCTGGGTGTTCCAGCCATATAGGACTAATGTGTTTAAGTATACAGATTAAAAACTTTCAATAGAAAAATCATGGAATCACAGAATGGTTTGCATCAGAAAGGACCTTAAGATCATTCACTTCCAACGCCCTGCCATGGGCAGGGACACCTCACACCAGATCATGTTGCCCAAGGCTCTGTCCAATCTGGCCTTGAACACTCCAGGGACAGAGCATTTACAACTTCTTTGGGCAAGCCATTCCAGTGTCTCACCACCACAGTAAAAAACTTCTTCCTTATATCTAACCTGAACTTTCCTTGTTTCAGTTTAAACCCATCACCCCTTGTTCTATCACTACAGTCCCTGATGAAGATTCCCTCTTCTTGTAGCCCCCTTCAGACACTGGAAGCTGCTCTCAGGTCTCCAAGCAGCTTCTCTCCTCCAGGTTGAACAGCCCCAACTTTCTCAGCCTGCCTTCATACAAGAGGTGCTCCAGCCCCCTGATCATCCTCATGGCCTCCTCTGGACTTGCCCCAACAGCTCCATGTCCTTCAAATAATTTATCTTCAAAGGCAGTGTGAGATTGAAACATCAACACCCTACAGACTCCCAAGTCTACCAGAGGCAGAGCGATCTCACCATTCTGGAGGGGAGACAATTCCTGACTGCTCTTCTGCAGGGGGGGTGACAATAGCACAGCTGGCTGGAAGACGTGAGCTGGCAAGCCTCTACCAGATCCCACACCACCTGAGGCGCCTGGCCTTGGGGTACACGTGAAAGGAAGTTCTTCCTGTGGGAATTTCGGCATATTTTCCCTGTTGTCTGCATCAGTCCTGGGCTCAGAATAGCTCAAGTCAGGTTTTTCTAAAGAAAAAGACAAAGCAGGGATAAAGTAACAATAAATAAATAAAACAATTAGTTTTAGTGCAATAGCAGTGGAAGGAAACATCTCAGTAACAACTCTTCTGTTCAGGTATCTGAAAAGACAGACTACAGTATGCTCGACACACACTCCAAACTTCCTTCTGATTCACAGGTACAGAACTCCTTCATTCAAGCATAATAAAAATCTCTACTGTCCTTAAAAGCAAGAAGGGCTCTTACATGTGGCCTTACAACTCTGATGATCTTTTTCTGACTTAATTAAAATCAGACATCTCCTACATTAAAAAAAACAATAATTACTCTTCTGTATTTATCTACAAATAGTTTACGTCTACACTGCCATCTATTTTGAATGTACCAGGGAGGCAGAAGATGTAAAACATGAAATCAAAGTTTTAGCTACCTATGAGAGTACAGTAATATGCTTTGCCAGTGCTGTCTTTGAATTGTCCCTTAATGATTTTGTTCAGGACATTTGTTCCCAGAAGAGACGTTAGTGGGAAATTAAGCAAAACATGCCTGATTCCAAAATGCAAGAGTCAAAAAGCACCCTTCAAAGGCAAAGAGCCAGAAGAGACTGTTCACATAAAATACTGCTTGTGGTTCACATTGCCTTAAGGGTACAAGAGATCTCTTTCTGAAGGAGAAGGAAGAAATAGTTTTGTAACTTTGGGAAGCATTTCCATAACTTTAGGAAGCTTTCCTCTCAGGAAGATGCCTTTTCCTCAGAAGAGAGACCAATAGGGAAGGATTTGAAAATCCTACTCCTGCAGAACAGTTGATTAGGGAGGTTTGGGCTTTGGCTATTTTTTGTGGGGAAAGTGGTTGTGTGGTGTTTGTTTTTCTTCTGTCCCCCAGAAAATCACAGCAGAACACTGACAGAACAGGATCCTTTCCTTCCAGGTAGCCCTTGACATGCCGTACTTCTTAGTAAGTCTCCCAAGGCTCTGTCCAACCCAGCCTTGAACACTGCCACAAACTGGAGCATTCACCACTTCTTTGCACAACCTGTTCCAGTGCCTCATCACCTTCACAGTAAAGAACTTCCTTACATCTAACCTCAACTTCCCATTTCAGTTTACAAGTACCAAGTAGCAGATTTCTGTCTGGTTAGCTAACAGGCCTCAGAACCTGCTATTTCTTATCAGCAGCGACCTCCAGCGTCTCATGGAAGAGCCAATCTCGTACTGTCAGGCTGCCTCAGCAACAGAAAGGCAAGATCCCAATTCCTTGTTTGCTTGTTTGGGTTTTGTTTTAAGGTTAATCTTGAAGTCCTGATCCAGACCGAATGATGCCAATGGGGATGGAATACAACCTATAATATTGTTGAAAAATAATCTGTAGCAAAAGACTCCAGAACCCATGGCATATGAACTACCAGAAGTGAGATTCACACTCATGCGAGGCATAGATGTCTGCTTGAGTAACTATTAAGTACCAGATTTCCCACTACAGGGATAAACAAGCCACAACTCCTGTTTCATCCTTCACACACACATACACACACCTTGGCCATTTGCTGGGCCTTTGCCTGTAACTCCAAAATGGTTTGGACTTTGTTCTCTTCTGGGTTCTACCAAAGGGAGGCCTTTAAATGCTTGTGTGAGAGACATCAGCTGTTCATCTGTTACTGTCATGTATTGCTGAAGCTTCTTCTAAAGGAGGAAGAAGAAAAAAAAAGAAGAGAGGGATATGGGAATTTGTACTTCACGAATTAGAAAATTAGGTACTACAAGCAGCCCTGTGAAGAAATTTGGCCTCTTACTACCACTGCATATGTCTGTAGGATTCCAGTGAGGTATTAAATACCAGTTTCCAGGTTTTAAATACCAGTTTCCAGGTTTCTCATTTATTTCCTCTCCTGACTCAAATAAATTATTTGGTTTTCCTTTTCCTAACTCACAACCCCACTTCCTCTCCAATGTTGCCTTATTGCTTCATTCCCCAAAATAACAACTGAACAAATCTACATTCACTGCAAATTGGAAAAAAAGAGAAAATGCAGTCTTACATCCAGGTTACTAAGTTGCTCCAGCAGTGTTACCAGTACAGAACTGCTGAGGAAAATGCTTAAGCTTTTAGATTGATAAAGTAAAGCTCAGTTTCGCAGAACTATCATTTTCCTCAGGCTTTGAATTTAAATTAAGGTAAAATAATGACTTTCCAAACATTCCTTCCCCACATCTCCTACCTGCTGTTGGAATTCTCAGGCTCCTCATTCAGTTTTATCATCTCTTGAACATGAGATAATGCATCTCGGCCCATACGTGCAACACAACTCAGTATTCCTACAAGCCATCCTAATGGGCAAGGAGCTCAGTACCTGCATAGTATTGTTTTCCTCCCTGACTAGAAGTATTTCTGCAGTCAGAGCATCAATGAGTTCTCTGTGTTCATTCAGCGTCTCCTCGTGCTGCTGCCTCATCACCTCCTTCTCACGCAGCTGCATTTCACTCTAAAGAGGGAGAAAAAGTTAAAAACCTACTATAACCCAATACAGATTTCTATTTAGAACCAGGAACGGGTCAACAGGAGCTCGAACTGCAACAGCTCTTCCCACTATGGCTCAATCGACTTAATTACATTCACAAAATCCAATTTTCATGGCTTGAGAACTGTCAGAGAGCTTACTGTTCCTTCTTTGTTGCTCCAGAACACTGTAGGGAATCCTGTACATCTTTTTTCTTCTGCCTTTACAACGTTTCCAGGCTGTACCTACCAGCATTGTCTCTCTCCATGGATATTGTTTTTTCAGTCACTGAATCTTCGTGCAGTAACCAAGTAACTCCAGATGTGCTGATGCTTGTCAGTATCCTGTGCTACTTGTGCCTATTCTTTAGTTTCCTTAATTCATTAATGAACACAAATTTGACTAAATAGAGAAAGTACTTGCTTTCTAATGTGATCCCTCAGGAAAAGTTCTACAGGGTTTAGTTATTTAGTTTTTTATTTATTTTAAAAAAGCCAAAAAGTTTTATATGATAAATAATCAACTTGAGCATGAGGAAAAAGACTTTACTGTAATGAACCTCTTGCCCTCAAAAGATATTACCATAGAGTTCCAGACTGGTTTGGGAAGACACCTTAATGTTCACCCAGTTCCAACCCCCTGCCAGGCAGGGACACCTTCCATTAGATCAGGTTGCTCCAAGCCTGATCCAACCTGGCCTTGAACACTGCCAGGGATGGGGCAGACACAGCTTCTCTGGGCAACAGGGAAGAACTTCTGCCTAAGAGCTCATCTCAATCTCCCCTCTAGCAGGTTAAAGCCATTCCCTCTTGCCTTGTCCCTAAAGGCCCTTGTAAAAGGTTCCTCTCCAGACTATCATTTATTATCAATTACTAAACAGATTATCAGTCTATTATTTTGAGACAGACCACTGCAGTAGCCAGGCTTCCTGTACATAAAAGAGTCCCATTCCTGTTCATAAACATTCCTGTTCATAAAAGAGTCCCTTCCACCTTTAATGGGTAAATGGACTGCTACTTTTTGGACCACCACTACAAATGAATAGAGGCTACAAAGTCAAATAAACACATCAATATTAGCAGATGGAGCTCTTCCACAGATGGATGCCTGTATTTACACAAAGGAATTCCTGAATAAGAGAAATACACCCCATCTCCAAATTTCACATAATTTCAACTAGTACTTTCCACTGAGAGACATTCGCTGTAATCAACTCCTCTCTTTTCCCTAGGGATACCTATTTCTAACAAAGTTCTAACTCTGAATTGCATGCAATCCGAATAATAAGCAACGATAATCAGACTTCAAAGTGAATTGACTGGGAGCCAAAAAAGACCGAAGTTCATGGCTGTAAAGTAACTTTATACCCTTTTTTATTTACTCTACAGAAGCAATTCAAGTCTTCTCACCTCTCTGAGGTAGCGCATCAGACGACAGAGAGTGTTGACCAGTGACAAGGTAAACCCAGTGAGCCCTTCACTTCTCTCAGTTTTCTGAACCACACGACCTGTACATCGCTCATATTCCTCCAGTTCATGCTCCACTTCATGTATCATGTGGTTGAGAACATCCAGGCTGGATTTATTGTCCCTCTGAAGGTCAATGGGGATTGAATTACCTGGGGAACCATCTCTCCTCTGTCTCGCAGAGTTCTGTGCAGTTTGTTTCCTTTTCACTGAGGAGAAAAAAAAACATAAAAAGTGTAATTGGAATTTCAACTTTTATAAGAGCTTTGCAGTACCAGAGAAATGACATTGTTTATTAAAGCAAATCAAAGAAGCCCTCTCTTGCCCTGAGCTGGAATGGACCATCAAAGAATGTCATTTCAGTCATTTCAGTTTTCACATCATCAAAAGCACATCTTCTACCACCACATTAGTATCTCTCAAGTATGATTGCTTGGTGCTTTTATCTTAGATACCTGTTTATACTTTCCTCCTTCTCAGCTAACAGCACGGAAACATTTGCCAGTGAACAGCCAGTGAAAAATACCAGCTGCTTTCAGGTCTCATATTTAGTGAGCAACTCTTTTACAACAGTCCTTTCATGTTACAGTTTGTATTTGATATCAGTTCCCACATACAAATGTGTGTAGAATATGGGTACTGAAATGCATCACAAGTCTGTGCAGCATAGAACAGAAAGCTGTAACAGAAACTGGTTCATGAGAAGCTCAACATGACCCACCAATGTGCGCTTGCAGGCCAGAAAGCCAAATGTACCCTGGGCTGCATCAAAAGCAGCATGGCCAGCAGGCTGAGCGAGGTGATTCTCTCCCCTATACTCTACTCTACTCTTGTGAGACCCCATCTGCAGTACTGCATCCAGCTCTGGGGCTCCCAACACAACAGGGACACGGACCTGTTGGAGGAAGTCCAGAGAAGGGCCACAAAGATGCTGTGAGGGCTGGAGCACCTCTTCAGTGAAGACAGCCTGAAAGAGCCAGGCTTGTTCAGCCTGGAGAAGGCTCCGGGGAGACCTTAGAGCAGCTCCCAGTGCCTAAAGAGGCTACAAGAAATCTGAAGAGGGACTTTTTACAAGGACATGTAGTGACAGGACAAGGGGGAATGGCTTTAACCTGCCAGAGGGTAGATTCAGATAGTAGGAAGAAATTATTTACTGTGAGGACAGTGAGACAACGGCACAGGTTGCCCAATGTGGCTGCCCCATCCCTGGCAGTGTTCAAGGCCAGGTTGAATGGGGCTTGGAGCAACCTGCTCTAGGTGAAAGTGTCCCTGCCCATGGCAGGAGTTGGAACTGGATGAGCTTTTAAGGTCCCTCACAATCCAAACCATTTTGTGATTCTAAGAAATAGAAAAACCCTGCACAGCAAAGAACTCCACAGCTTGCAAAGTAACAGATGGCATCAAAGGGCTGTATTTATGGTTCCCAGATTCCTATGGAATTTGCTTTGCCAATGAATGTGCAGAATAGAGGGGAATAGGCTATACAAGGGGCTATGAACTGCCCATCCTTAGAGATGCTTGAGACTCATATGGACAATGTTCCCCATAACCCAACAGTTAACCCTGTGATGACTTCCAAAGATCCCTTTCAATCTATGTCACCTTATGATATTGAGGACCTTGGTCAAAGGGAGGTAAATACTAAACCTTTTGCTGTGCTTTGCTTTTGTTTCCTTGACTTTGGGTTCAGCACTTGTCTCACACTGTAAGTGGAGTCTCCAGTCTCTTCTTCATCTTCCTTGTGAAGTCTTGAATGAATTCTCTTGACTACACTGCTACCATTGAGGGCTGATTTAAACACAAACACAAAAAATATGTAAGTGAAATATTTCAGGAATGTTCAGAACGGTAATATGTTATAAACTAATTTTATTAGAAGAACTGGCTTTTTAGTCTGGAAATTCATCAAAGCCAAATAAGCATGTCTCTGTCTCTCACTCCCTTAACCACCCCTGAGATGCTGATTTGGCAAATCCAACCTGACTGATCCCATGATGGAGAAGCAGTTGGAGTCAAAGGCACGTTTGCTTCCTGTGATAAGGCAGTTTTTCTCATATCCTTTTCAGCCCACAACTGGGAATTCACCAAGGAATTTTCTTCTCTCAACAACCGAAGTAGTCTACAGACAAAACAAGCATAACAGTGAATTGTAACAGGATAAAAACATGATTCTAAGTTATCTGTACAGTCTGGAAAAAGCTTTTTAAAATATCTGTAATTGCTCAGGTGAGTTCCCTCCTCAAATTAATTCCCAGTCTGAATGTTACAAGGAAGGCTGTCCCTGGCATTCTGAGGTCAGGAAAGGAGGACAAGGGAAAAATGAAAAACTAATTTAACTACAACCATGCAACACCTTAGAGATTAAAAAAATCTTCTTCCAGCGTTAAGGAGGTGGAAACCTGACAGGATGTATTTGTACTGACCTGTCAGAACTGATGCTGGATTTGAAACGCAGAGAGTCACTGTGTCCATCTTCCGATTGACAGATTGATGATGCCTCCTCTTCCACTTCATTAAGAGCCTTTTCAGGAGACAACAAAGGAAACAAAAGTGACTTTCAGAGCAATTTCAGTTTATTTTTAGGAAGAAGTTAGAGATAAATCTTTGTTTCCAAGAAAAACAAAAAACATTTGTTCCAGTCTCCACTTCTGCAATGAAATTAGGAAGAAAAACAAGAAAAAAAGAAAAACAAAGAGAAATCTAGTCCTCTGTGGCAAGAATTTTTGGGGACTTCAGCACCTATGAAATCCTGATACTAACAACTGCCTCTGAAAATATCACAGCAAGTGATTAATTCAATTTCCAATATTGGGTTTTATTATTTGTATTAAATAAGAAAGACCACACACACTGTAGGATAAAAAAAAGCCTTAAAGACTGCACCAAAACAAATACAGAGATATAGCAGGCAGAGGATGGAAAAAGCAACTTAAATTACAGCATTTCTACAATTCCAGCCTTTTGAAATTACAAACTAAACAACTTTGCAATGACAGCTGTAAAACTACATTTATATTCCATGTGTGAAATGCAACCAGAGCAAGATACAATTCTATGCCCTACATTCATAGGAAAACAGGCAATCAAATTGGGAACTAGGGTTCTTCAAAATACCAGATCTCTATGCTTCCAGACAGGGTTCACCAGAGAGCCTTTAACTATGATTTTTGTAGGCAAATAAGGACAAGAAAATCTCACAGAAGTTCAGCAGACGACTCTCGGTGTTTCTTTTACCCAGTGTAAGCTTATCCTTCAGCACACATTCAGACACAGAGCTCGCCAAAGATGCTACACTTAATTCTTCATATTAAAAAAAAAACCAAACCAAATACCACACTGAAATACTTGACAGAGAAGTACTGCAACTCCAATTGCAGCTATTTGTGCAAGTCAGAAACAGGATTAGAGAACCATGAGAATAAGACACCATCACTTGTGCCCGCACAGCTCTTTTTGTCTTCATCAGTGAGCTGTTTTCTGGGAGTGTCATATGCCTGTTCTCAAGCCACAGTGAGCATTGCTGGTACAACTCACATTATGAAAACAGAACACAAGGTCAACCTAAATGGAATTTTAAACAAATTTAAACAACTTCAAAACTTTTTAAACAGATCTAAATAATTGTAAAATACTGTGAAGTATTAAAACTTTAACTTGTAGGACTAACCAAGACAGTGGAGATAACTGGAGTACATGTACATGTGTTGTCAGAAACAAATTCGAGCCCAACTGGCTATGTCCCCATATATGCAGACAGAAAATCAGAGGTATGTTTTATATATTAAATATAGTATTTATATGTATATATATAAATATATTAAATATTGAAATATACATACATTTCAGTATGTAACAATTAGTTAAGTGACAGAAGAGTTGCCTTAGTCTGTAATTTGTTCTCACGTTGTTAATTCCAGAATTGCAAAGAGAGAGCATGCTAACATGAGGGCACTTCTATGCCACGTTTGTTGCTCATATGCAAAGTTTAAGAAATCAAAAATCACAATTTCCAGAGCCTCACAAAACCAACTCAGCTCCATTTAACACAATTTTCTACATATGTTCTCAACATAGTATACAACACACAGAAGACAGGTTTCTGCTTGGAAACTCTGCCTTTGAATATTCTTCCTTTGTGCAAACAAAAAAGCCACAGGACGTGCACAGAACAGGACACACATTACCTGGGAACGCATGACAGATTTGCTAAGGATGGAAAGCTGAGTGGGAGCATCACATCTTTGTACAATGGGTCCTTGAGATGATTCTAGGTCACAGTTAGGAGCCATTGTTACATTAGGGATACCTAGAGGAATTAGACAAAACAGGGAAGAACACAGAGGACTCGGTCTGTAGTATGTAACAAGACTTTGCACCAAAAAGCAAGTTCCCATACTTATTCACAAAAAGGGTCACAGGGATGTACAATGCTTTAAGCAACTGCCAAAGGCCAACTATATTGTTATCTTAATACATCTGGCCACGTACCAGGCTTTTGTCCTTCTCATCTATGTGAATACATTTGTGCAGAAGCAGCATGTAGGATGAAACAGTCTTTATAAGCAAAAGAATATGACAGCCTACAGAGAAAATAACCTATGTTTAACATTCCACATGAAAACAGCCAATCCTGCCTTCAGCAGCATAAGGACCCACAGACCAGGATAAGAAAATGAAAACCCTTGCTCACAAATTGCTGATGAATTTTCCACAGTACCCAAGCAGTCAACCAACATGGTAATGACCATCAAAACTACTACAGTGGCTCAGACTGGTGCTCTGTACAGGCCAGTAGCTTGGCTGTGAGAAACAGTAAGCGTGAGGTGTTTCACACTAAATGATCTGAAATTCCACAAGTGGTCCACAATTCCATAGTACAGCAGCATAATCAGGCATGGGTCGCCCTACCCTGCCATGGGAGGTGTTATCTGTGTTTTATCCAACATGAACAGGATCTGATGTACTATGTCACATGAGGAGATGAAAACAGTTAAAAATAACACTTTGCAAAGTGAGACTATTTAGGAAAAGCAAGGAGATAACCTTAAATGTGCTACCATATATAAATAAGATGGTCTACCTGTTCGTGTGCGAGGAGCATCCCCAACCAAGTCTTTTGCCGCAGCTATAACCTCATCAGTTCTCTCCAATACATCTTGCAACTGGTATTGATCAGACAGGATCTGAAAGTATAGCATATAAGGAAATATTCCATACTAAGCAGACCAACTTTTCCTTTGTTTTTTTTTTAGTATTGCTCTTTTGACAGCTAGCAAGAGAACAGCCAACAAGACAATGTTTGCAAAGTTGTACTGTGCAATTAGATCCTGATTAAGATGGAGCAGAAAAAACATCCTTCATTCTTGGGTTTTGGAAAAATGAAACAGTCATTATTTGTGGGGCCCACATCTGCACTGACTCTTCCTCATTAATCCTCTCTCTTCTCCTTTCAGCTTGACACAAACACAGGAGTGTTTGACACAATCATCAAAGCAAAGACATAGAGCTGGTGATTAAAAAAAACCCCAGTATGTATCCGCAACCCATTTGATCTGAGTTGTCAGTAAGTGTTCTACACGTATCATTATCAGATGTAATGATGAGCCAAAGAAAACTTACCTAGATCTCCTTTCCAACCTTAACTATTCTATGATCTGATAATAATGATCAGATAATGATAGTTTAATTATAATATATAAATAACATTATTAAATAGACAATTATCAGATAATTATACGGAGTCAAAATCCCTTATCTACATCTGATCATGATAACAATCAGATGTGACAATGATACTGTCAAGTCATAGAACACTTATCTACATCTGACAGACAACCAAAACTGTACTATTTGGTGAGATCCAAACCAATTCAGGCAGACTTGCTTCATTCAGCCTTGACTACTGAAAATCCTGCTGAAAAACTTAAGCCACTGACCACCACAGAAGTTTCAACAGACATAAACACAGCTGACTACATCTGGCATCGGAAGATGTTCTGGGAATCTCCACACACTTCTCACAAGGCACAGATCCTGTATTCAAGGTCTCCCTCCCCCAGTATCTCAAGTCCATCGTTGGCACCAAAGAGGCCTTAAAGTGCAAAGCAAGAGGCATTCAGCTACTGTGAGCTGAATAGAGCTGAGCGGGGACACGACTTCATGTGTCCCCAGTTTGAATTGAACACAATTTAAAACTCCTCACTGACTCGCGGTGTTCTTCACAAAGCTGGAAATTTCAACTTATTAAAATTACACCCCACAACTTGGGAAGGAGGTAGTTACTCTTGTATGACTGAGAAGAGACCAGATGTGCGAGTGACCTCCACTTCATTGTGGTTAATTCAATTTAGCTGGAGAGGCCGCAAGCACTTCAGAAGATCCTGCAGAAAAGACAGGTGTATGTATGCTCTCCTACTCAAGATTAGAGAACTGAGTGAGCTTTCTTGCTCTCCCAGGAATCATAACAGGGACTTGTCTGCAGCAGTTTCACAGCACTATATGCCACTATCTCCACTAAGCTTCTGTCAATGTCCACTGATAAATTTGCTGGTTTATGTTCAGCCTCATTCAAAAAATTCTGGGCAGTGGCAGCTTCACCTGCTGCCCACTCCCGTATCTTAGCATGCTTTGTTATGTCAAGAAGTTTCCCCACATACCTACTTTCCACGTCTTTCTAATCTTCTGAGCCTGAATTACACTGCACAACATTATACTTCTCCTCATAAGCAATTCAGCAAACCAGTGAATATTCAATCATCTCACATATCTATTTTCCCAAATCACTACTCGATTTTCACACTTGAACACAACTGAACTTAGTCTTTCCATTCCACCATCTGATGTCAAAACAATGCAGGTTTTTAGACAAAGTTATGCCAGATCTGAAGGAAGAAGAATGCAAGAAAGAGAGGGAAGGCATGGAAATAATAATTTACCTGTCCCAAAACATAATTTCTTTCCCCAAAGCAATTAAAACTAAGGTGGTGTGTTTAATCAGACAAAAGCCATCCCAATTCATTTTTCACTTTTCCTACTAGACCTCTTTCAGCATCACAGCTTCTGAAGCTTCACCCTGCTGATGAACACATTATGAATATTTCAGAACATTGTTCCCAAGTTAGCTTAGCTCACATGTATTTGAGACCAGCAGAAAACAATCTGGTATCTCCTTCTAACCCCTCTGGGCTCATTTACATGCCATTGACAAATGCTGTACTTTGTCTCAGTTTAGTATCAGCTGTGAATTTCATTAAAATTCATCTTCTCTTTAAATTGTTATTAAAGACTGGACTAATCCTAAAACCTCCCCACTGTGATAATCCATTCACCACCTACCCTTCAGTGCAACACATTAACATATGTGGCACCTCCACATCCACAATCCACAGTTACAGGGGCAAGCTCATACTATTTTTTTCATTCAGATTTTTAGGCAGATAAATCCCAAAATATTAAAATTTTGCTTATCTATTTCATAACTTTTCAACCTACAAGAATAAACACACACTAGCAGCAGCATCTTCCTAGTTTTTGCCTCTGAGTCTGTTGCAATTGAGTAGGATTCAAGAGGCTTAGGAAGCTATAATCACAGCAGTAAAGAGATCACCAAAGTAAGAGAGACAAGGAGATAATCCACAGTGGTGTCTCGTACTGGGAGACACAGACTGAAGAATCCCCCCAATTACTCTGAACAACAGGACCTAGTAATCAACAAGATTAAAGCTCCAGACAGGAAGAAGTGGTGACTCTCCTCCATCTATTTCATTTTTCCTCTCCACTCAAGAAGACGCCAGTGTTTCAAACAGCAACAGCCAGATGGGTTTTATCTTGCCTGGCATCATCTCCTGTTGTCCTCCTGTCTGAAGCATCTTTTCTCAGATTCAGAAGTAGACATAAACTAACCTCTTAAGTATGAAGGGCAAAGCCACTCAGGAGGAACTGATATTTGGGCATTATCATTAGAACTGGCAGCAACTTCAGAAGACTATCGATGAGTTCTACATCTGTGAAATGAGTAAAATCATGTAATAGGTAGTGCAGCCAAATCGTAGCGGGATAGCTATCAAACCTAACTTTGTGATAAATCATTTATTTCTGCAGGGAAGTCTTATTGAAACTAACTTTCTACTACATTAGAGAAATCTGCATAAAAGCCCATAGTTTTTCTGAATATTCCACGAAAATGCACTTGGCAGAAAAATATGAAGGTAACAAAGGTAAAAATTAATTTTTGAGGCTTGATCAGCAAGGTATCCTTAACACAAAAATTCTACTAGGATTGCAAAGACGCAGGTGTCAAACAGGAAGCTAGAAGGTGAACTTCAATTCCAAGTACTTAAATTTGTTTCCATGTCTGAATGTTCTGAGAGATCAGAAGAAGACTTCTGAAAATGCAGAGGAACTGAAAGAGAGAAGGGGTCTGTGATGGCTAACTCACTGCACATTTATACCACTACCAGATCATGTTTATCTGAACTGCTAGGTAAACATTGTTCATTAGCAGTTTCTACCAACAAGAAAATTCTCAGGTTGTCCAAGTGCTGATGAGGTCTGAAAGCTAACAACCATGTTTTGAGACTAGTTTTTGTAACATATGGCAAGGAGTTGTCTGGTATATGAAACAAAAGGATGTCTACCACTGAAATCTTCCAGGTAGGGACATCTACTGTCTGTTAGCTAAGCTTAGGTTTCCTGCTATTTAGTTCAGTATTTAAAAGCAGTTAAAGCAGTACATTTTCAGTCAGAGTGCTTCAGACTGCCTAGAGAACAACCTTTTCAATTCCCAGATGATAAGCTTGTCTGCTAGCAGCCACAGTTCCTCAACCTGTTGTGTCGATTTTCCTTCCAGACAAGCTCTTTCTTCCCAACTTCTTGCCTCGCCCCTTCAACCTCTATGACTGCATTTTCTCTGTTTATAACAGCTATGGTAGATAAGGATGTCCCTCCCAGAAACACTGATGTTTCCATCAAAGAAAAATACTAGAGAGGAGGAGGAAAGGGCAAGATAGCAAGGAATAGATACTTTTCGCAACACAGAGTTTAACTCTGCAAAGTTACTGTTGAGATGCCAGGAGGCCTGCAAATTACACAGGGCATAGCCAGGCAACAAGGATCAAATGTACAATTGTGTAGCCGTGTTAGCCTATACCAATCAATGCATGCACACAGCACATAGAGGAGGGAGAGTGTATGCATATACAAAGTCAAGTTATCCAACAAGAGGAGCAAATGCTGACCTACATGCAAGAGCAGTTTTCCACTACCGCTGCAAATAATCTTCAGCAGGCTGAAAGTGTGGGTTTAGCTCTCACCTCGCGCATCAGAATCAATTTTCTTTTCTCCAAGGAATCAGTGGCCTTTTGCTTCTTCCATTTTCTTTTCTGTGCTTTCTCTTGCAGTTCCAGCTGCGCCAGTGCTTTGTTTTTTGACTTGTGTATTTCATGGCGACGCAGCTACATAAACATGAAAGAAACCATTTCAAAAATCAAGGGATGATCTAAAGCAGAATTTGCAGGGTGATGCTAACTAGCTCTTCTTGATTTTACCATTCATTCGCTGAATACTGTTTAAGTTAACTTCATGGTAGTACCGATAACAGCCTCACAAGCATCTAGAAGCTTACAATGGCATCAGTACCAGTCAAATTTAGTGGGTCTGAAGACGAATAGGAAAATTCTCATAGTTTTCACCTGCTCCACACCACTGACTCAGCAAGAGTTGTCTCAGCTGAAAAGGGAGAAAAAACCCAAACACTTTTACCTCTAATACACATAAAAAGACATAATGCATTTTCCTGATTTAACACTGTCAGTCACCAGCAATATTCTCTCTTCTAACACTTACTAAAGTTTCTGGAAGCTATGAAGTCAACCATTTATAGAACCAGGCCTCTCTCTGCTACTGTGTCCCTCTGTCCTGACTAACCTGTCAAAATTCATAAGCAACAACAGCTCATATTGCTATTCCATCCTGGTAATCTGTGAGATCAAGGAAAATGAAATAGAGCTTACATATTTTGTGATGAGCAGGCCTTTCAGTATAAAGAAGTTACGTTAAGCCATTAAATGAAAATTGAATACACTCTGAATTAGAGACATTCCTAAAATAAAGCATGGCTTTCAGTCCTTCCAGCAGAGATGAGAGTTAACTTCAAAACCCACTGAGTTTTTATGCATTTATGGTTTTATGTTTTTAGATGGGATACAGTTTACTGAAATAAAAACGATGGCTACTGCTTCCCCAGGGAAACACAAAACTGAAAACCACCAACCACCAGAGCTGGGGGATGCATGGTATCATGAACAGAGAACGAACACTAAGGAGAGAGTATTTTCCAAAGCTTAAACGGGGGGGAAATATCCCCCCAAAGTATGGTAAACATTTATGTCAGATAACCAGCTAAATCTCCTTGCTGCAGCAACTGCTATTACACTTACAATGTCCTCAGGAGTTGCACGGTGGACCGTCAGATCATGGACGGTGCTCTGCAAACAGGAACCACAGAACACATCAAAAGCCAGAACTGAGTACAAACTAGGGTTTTTTTCAACTTTCATTTAAAAATACAAAACGAAACTCTAAATTATAATATAATTATCATATACAGTATAGAGCTGTGAATTTTTAAGCCCCTGTAAAGCATTCCACCGTCAGCGAGGCAGGCAAACAGCAAAACCGACACCCTTCCCAAGCCAAATCCACACACAAACCGAGAACGTCCCGAATGTGACACCCCCCACCCCAGCCAGCACCTCGCTGGGCACGGAGACTCCCTGGCCCTTCCCCAGCCGGCCAGAGGCCTTAGCTCCGTCTTCCCCGTCACCCGGCTCAAACAACCCCGCCGCCGGGCCCGCTGTGCTGCCCGCGAGGAAACACCGCCCAGGCGGGAGCAGGCCCGGGGAGGGGGAAGCACTTACGTCCCAGTCCCGCTTCACCGGCAGCGGCTTCCTAGGGCCCTTCCTGCCGGCGCCGCGGGGCCGCGGCCCGCGCAGCAGCGACATGACCAGCCCCGCCGCGGGAAGGGGGCGGGAACGCAACGGCACCGCGGCGGCGGCTGGAGCCTCCCGCCGTCGCCATGGGGACGGCGCCATTACCCGCCCGCCGTCCTCGCTGGCGCTCACCTCACGCCGTGTCCCCCCCGCCGGCCCCTCCAGGGGGGTGGGTATCGCCGGTGCCTGCGGCTCCCCTCCCGTCACCGGTTTGCTGTGGGGAAGCAGCCGCTGCCTTGCCCCCCACGCTGGGCAGTACCGCAGGGGAGCAGAGGGAACCCCGGTTCCCTCGCCTCTGAAGTAGGGCAGCGCCTTGGCAGTTCCAGCCCTGGATGGACAGGGTTCTTTATACTCCACAGGGAAAACCCACGAGCTACTCCTAGCACTGTCAATTAGCCATGTCTCCCGCCTCCGGCATTAATTTTCCTTTCATTTATAGCCCTCTTCACTGCAAACACCCTCCCAGGCCTCTTCTGAGGAAGCCTTGGAAACTTCCCCATGCAACAATATGTATTTCAGATCCTATTAGGGATGACTGAGAGCAGGACATCACACAAACTATTACATTAAGAGCCCATCAGATTAAAGAGTGGCCCTCAGTGTATTAATGAATAGATCCCATTAGCTATGCCGCTGGGGAAGGGTGTACTTCCATATCCACAAGGCATTTCTGGCTTCCACAAAGCAACTGGCTGTTTTTAAACAAGTCATTTAACTTACACAGTGTATTTCCTATAGACTTGCCCCACAGAAAAGCAACAGATCCTCCACCTCCCTGTCACATACCTGGAAATGTAAATTACCCTGAAGGGTTAGAATTAACATCTTGTATTACGGTATGAGCTTAGTGTTTTGTCTGTGGGAGCTGGAAAGTGAAGACATAGGATTGATCAGCCTTTCATTCAAAACACCTTCCTTAAAAACTCCCTTTCACCAGGGTTTCCCGGTGCTTGAGGTCCTCATCTATCCTGTTCTGGCTTTACCAACATCACTGTGGGAAGATTCATGTGAAGGTGTGAGGGGTTAATATGCCAAGGGAAGGAACTGCATTGCATGTGATACAAAAGGTTGAAGTTATGAGGGGAGAAAAAAGTGACAGAGAAATACTATCAGCAGTTGCCTGTGCTGAAGTGCTGCAAACGTGGCTAAGTCTTCGTGAATACTGGAGGTTGCATCTGAACTTCAGTTTCTGCGTAGGCACTAGACATAGATACCATTCACAACCTGAAACTGAACATATGAACACCTGCGGTAAAACAAATCCTTGCTCTGAGGCACATGTGCAAGGGAATGAACTGGATTAATTACTCCCTGCTTGAAAATTTGGAGCCAAAAAGCATGAATCAAGGGTGTACCTGGAGTTCTCTCCTAATATCAAAAGGAGTGTGACCAGCAGGTCAAATGGAGGTGATCCTGCCCCTCTGCTCTGCTCTCGCGAGACTCACTTGGAGTATTGTGTGCAGTTCTGGGGTCCTCAACATCAAAAGGACATGGAACTGTTGGAACAAGTCCAGAGGAGGGCATGAGGATGATCAGGGGACTGGAGCACCTCCCATATGAAGACAGGCTGAGAAAGTTGGGGCTATTCAGCCTGGAGAAGAGAAGGCTGCGTGGAGACCTCATAGCAGCCTTCCAGTGTCTGAAGGGGGCTATAGGGATGCTGGGGAGGGACTCTTCATTAGGGACTGTAGTGACATGACAAAGGGTAATGAGTTAAAACTTGAACAGAGGAAGTTCAGGTTAGATATAAGAAATTCTTTCCTGTAAGGGTGGTGAGGAACTGGAATGGGTTGCCCAGGGAAGTTGAATGCTCCATCCCTGGCGGTGTTCAAGGCCAGGTTGAACGGAGCCTTGGGTGAGATGGTTTAGTGTGAGGTGTCCCTGCCCATGGCAGGGGGGTTGGAACTAGATGACCTTAAGGTCCTTTCCAACCCTAACTATTCTATGATTCTATGATTCTATATGGACTTAAACTGTCTTAAAAAATAAGGTCTACTAAAGAAGAAAGTTATAAAGTCACAAATAGATCAACACACCATCCACTTTGAATCCCCTTAAACCTCTCTGCGAGTACTATTTACAGTCAAATATAAACATTAAATACTTAATACAAGACAGAGGTATTTCTCATTCACCCACCCTATTCTCAAACACTCCAGCCACCTATAAGAAAATGGGGAGCAGGTCCTATCAGATGTTGTAAAAGCCTGTTTACCCTTGAGTTCTTCTTGTTCTTCACATGCATCTACAGCAAAGTCTGAAAATGTTGCTTTATCTCTGCAGAAGCCAGCTGAGCATCTACAGCATCTATTAACTCACAGCAGAGCTTACATAAGATGCAGACAACATACTCAAAGAGCAGTGATTTAAAACCAAACCATTTGGTTTGTTATACATTTATACTCTTTCTCACCCCCCTTCCAAGCTAGTATGATTTGGGGAATTCCTTTGTAACAAAGATCTTTCCTTTATCTTGGATGTTTTTGCAGCCCTGGTTACCAGGAGAAATGTAATTTCTCAGCTGTGTTGGTTTGTTTTTTTTTCTCCCCAGTAGCAACGAGATTTTCTACTTTTGTGCTACAGCAAAAAAAGAAAAAAAAAAGAAGAAAGAAGAAATAAAAGGGAAAAAACCACCAAACCCACTCTCTTGTGAGCCTCTGGTTCAGCACAGTTCCTCCTTCTCCTGAAACACTCACAACCCTAGGATTTGCTTATATTGGAAAAACAGGCCACATTGGGAAATACGTGCCCCACACACAGTCAGAGGCAAGGGCCCTGAGAGCATCACCCCCTTCCTGGAGGTCTGACACCCTGGGCTCACTGATAGTACAGAGATAGTACAGCTGAGGGCTGCCCCTTTCCCTGCAGCAACCTTGGAGGCAGGGCTGCAGGGAGACCTCAGGGAGGCTCTGGTGCTGGGCTCTGCCTGAGCTACCACTGCAGCTCTGTGACAGCCAGGCCTGTATCTCCCTGGACCTGCTGACCAGCTTCTTGGCCAGATCTCAGACCTGCTTCACTGCTATGGACTTGCCTGCTGATCATGGGGCTGCGTCCAGCACCAACTGCTGTCGCTGGACCTGACTCATCAGACCTATCCCGTCACCATGTACTTGTCCAGCAATCTGGACTATCCATTGACCCCAGCTGCCTTTTCTAGGCGTGCCCTGCTCACCTTGCACAGATCCTGTGGGATGAGGCCCTGGCCAGTGAGGTCTGTGCTCCACTGGCCATGTCCCAGCACTCAGCTCCCTGTCCTTTAGAGAGCAGCTGGCCCTCACTGTCCCCTGATGCCAGAGTATTGTGGCACATACAGGAATACCAGGCCACTTCCTCAGACCCATGGTTTGTCTAGATCAGCATATTGTCTCTTACAGGACTAGTTCTTTTTTTCCAGAATACATGCTGCCATTCAAGAACAAGATCCAGGTAGAAGTGAAAAGGGAAAACAGTATACCCATCTTTATCAAAGGGTCTGAGTGAAGAGTTATAAAGCAACTGACCTCCCTTTGTTATTTGAACAGATAATGGAACAAGCTGTTCGGCAATCAGTGTGCAAGCAATTAAATAACAATAAAGTAATGAGAAACAGGCAGTGTGCGTTTGTCCAGAACAAATTATGTCAAAGTAACCTAATTTATTTCTTTGCTGAGATAACTGACTAAGTAGGTCCTGAAAGGAATAGATGAAATGTCTTTTGACTTCAGTAGGGCTTTTGACATTGCCTGGAACACCACTCTCCTAAAGGCAAATAGGTCTCAGGTGGTATTAACATGAGAGGTATGTATCATTGAAAAACAATTCCCAAACTGTAGCAGTGGCTATTTTGCTGTCTATAGGAAGGTACATCAAATTATGAGATCTGATCTGTCTGCTAGGATTGATTACTTTAACTAGTGACTGACCTTTGATGTCAAACTTCTGCAAATAACAGGGAGTCAGGCAGTACCACACTTTGGAGGCAAAGATTTGAACATCATTAGTTTAACATCACTAAATGGCAGAAAGAGCCTCAAACCGGTGAGATGAAACTCAGTGAAGACAAGAACAAAGTATTACACTTCTAAAAGCTGAATTCTCAAATTTAAAACAAGAAAAAAATGTGAAGCCTTTGGTAAGATACCAAAAAGTATATCCTCTCAGGGCAAGTACTTTAAGAAATCTGTAATTATACATTGGAAAATGTGGACTATATAAAAAGCCACTTCTTCATCATGAGGACAGCATGACTGGGAAGGGACAGTGCACTGATAACACAGTGATCTCCCAGTTTGAAATACACACAGCACCAAATGACACAAAAATCATTTGCAGCAGTCAAAACTACCTTGATTTGCAGAATACTGGCCTTGTGCCATCTGTCATACTGCTCTGAGCAACCTGTCATGGCTCTGATGTGCTCTCCCTGTGCCATACCTCCTCCTGTTGCATGAAGCCTCTCTTCTCTGGGAAAAGATGTTGCTAAAGGGCCGCTCACCCTGCCAGAGGGCAGTGGGTGAGAAGGGAGCTATAGATTCAGGAGCTCAGGTCTCCACAGGGTGAGGAAGGGAAGCCACAAGTCTCCCAGTGCCACCACTGCCTGAAGTCCCTCAGGACAGGTCATACTGTGTCCCAGTAAGAGGCAAGACAGAGTCACAAGAGCTCAGAGGTGACATTGCACAAGTCTCCTGGTATGCACAGCATAATAATACAGGCTGAGAGGCAAAACCTTCCTGTTTGAGTGTCCATCTTCTAGCAGAGCCCAAATATTTTTTTGCCCTCAATGCTACCCCCTCCTGGGACTCTGCCAAAAGGCAGGGTGACTTGAACAGCAGCCTGCTTCAGGACAAACACTGGAAATCACTGACAACTGTTTTGGTTTTGTTTCTTTTGGCAGATATTACACAAAGGCCCGAAGATCAAAACTACAGCGTAACACATGCTGGCTCGTTTTACTGAGCTTTGCAACTTTTCCTCTGAAGATGCCAAGTGACCCCCAGGAAATCTCTGTCTTGAAGCCAAAACCTAAGCTTGTAAAACTTCTGTGGCCAGCATCACCACCGTTGGAGACTGCAGACTGGCTTTATAAAACGGGGTCTCCTGCAAGTTCATCCTCAGTCAGAAAAACCTTTCTGGTTGCCTTCTAGTAACGCTCTATCTTCTCTTAGAAGTGCATCTCTGCCATGGCATGTGACACATTTCCCAGATGTGTTTTCAGCAGAACACAGAAGGGTTAAGCCATGCAAGAGACCCCTGGAGCTTTCGCAGCCCAACAGTATCTCTCCCACCTTGCTGAAAAAGGTTAAGGGTATCACAGTCATACCAGTTTCACGAACGACTCAATGCAAGATGTACCAAGCCATGCTTGAATTAACGAAATTACGTTTTGCTGCAGCCTCTCACACCTTCGGACAGAACTAAAAGACGAGGGCATTTATCCCAAAGTTACGAGCAGCCAAAACTGAAGGCTGGGGACGGCCCCGTGCAAGATGCATTGCAGGTGCAAGCCGGCAGAGCGCTGACTCGGTGGGCTTGGGAGTGTTGAAGCCTCGCGGATGCCGCTGCCGCGGCCCCGTATCCATGTGTCTGACGGTGCCCCTGAGCTCACAGCACAGCTCCCCAGGGGGAAATGCTCCCTGACAACCATCTGCCAAAGCCGGCTCAGAATTTGGGGCCGGGCACAGGCAGGAGACCCTCCTCCCCGGGGCCAGCCCGCCGGACTCCCTTCCCTTTCCTCCCTCCCCTTCGCCTCCGGCCGGGCTGCAGAGGGTCCCTCTCTGGGCAGGGGTGTGGGACTGCTCCCCCCTCGTGTGGCCGAGCTGTTCATTTAAATTGCAAATACAGCGGCTCAGCGCCCGCCCAGCTGGCGGGAGGTGGGTCCGGGTGCTGCACCGGTCGGCCGGCCGGCGTGAGGTTGGTCCGTGGGACTGGCAGCGGCGCCGACGACGAGCCCATGGCCCGGGGGACGGCCCCGGCCTCCGGGGCTTCGCTCTGCGCCTTGCTCTGGGCAGCGGCGGCAGCGGCGGTGGCCGGCCCCGAGGGCAGCCCCGCACCCGGCGCCTTCGGCCGTGTCTACCGGGGCAACGTGAACATCAGCGCGGAGCGGGTCTACGCCTTCGCTTACCGCAGCCAGCCTGGGCAGGTAGGAGCTTCCCGCGGAGCGCCGGCTTCCCCGCGGCAGGGACGTGTACCGGGGCCCCTCGCCCTCTTCCCGCCGATGTGGCCGGAGGTGGGGGGAACCGGCGCCGCTGCGTCTCCGCCGCTCTGCGGGAGGGGGCCGGGCTGCCCCTCAGCGGCCGGGGGGTCCTGCCTGCATCCTCCTGCCTCCGCGGGAGCCGGCCGCGGTGCACCGGTGGGCTCCGCTCGTCCTCCCGCCGGCTTACCTGGCACGGCCGGGACACGGGGCTGAGGGGCCAGAGGACACAGGGTGGGCGGTACAGCTTCCCACATGGGGGTTTGGTAGCCAGTGCTGCCAGCAGCAACATGGTCTTAAAGTCTAGAAGGGAATTAAGAGGATAATAGTACTATCTAAAATACATATATCTATATAAAAGGGGTGTGTGTTTGTGCAGTTAATAAGCCTTTTAAAATACCATTTCCCACGCTTTAACACTCCTGTAGGATCAGGGTGTGCTCCCTTGGAAGGTGAGACAAGTAAGGTGCTATGTGAGGAGGCTGCCCAGCAGCACTGCTAAAGCCATGGCTTAGTGATGGGGGGAGGAAACCTCTCATAGCTATTGCGGCTTTTTTCCCCTTCCCCCCCTTTTTAATGTCGTGTTTATCTGAGGAGCTAAGTGGTACCTTGGAAACTGTCCCCGTTGTTTGGATTGGGTTTTAATTGCTGGGCAGGATGTTCTGATGAACCAAAAAGATGGTGAACCTGGCAAACGAATCTTTGCTCCTGTCCTCAGCTGCACAGGACACGAAAAATCAGAAAATACTGCTTTTCCCACACTGTATTTGTCATGTTTCAATATGAAGGGAGTTGGTGCAGAGCATGATAAAAGGGGGAGGAGGTGAAGCAGGGGGAGATAGTGTTAACCATCCCTTTGGGAGGCTTTGCTTTACTCTGAAATTCCAGAGCTTTAAAGACTCCTCTTTATGTATGTTACTATGTAATAAAATGCAGCTGGTATTTATGGGGCAGGAGTTGTGTGTCAGGGCTGTGATGCAACTGAGCCCAGCATTACTTACCTCTTAGGTGTCACTACTGAACCCAGTAGGTCAAAAGCATGCTTTGGGCATGAGCCTCTGTGTGGAAGCTGATGGTGATGTGCATTAGGCTTTTTCAGGTGTTACAGGTATTGGGTATTAGGATGAGAGTCTGTTGGCAGACCATGTGTTAGTGGGGCTTGTTAGTAGTGACAGCTCAAGTACTGTCTGCAGCCAAAATGAATCTAGTTCTTTTGATTTAATGTCTGTTAGTGTGTATTTGCCAGACACCTTCCATAAAGAAGGAGATCTAGGGTGATGCAGAGTGGGAGGAGGCAGTCAGGGAGCACATGGCTGCTCCGTGGTGTTTGTGGGCATTGAAATGCATTTGCTGCTCAATGGCACTAGACCATTCCTATGTCTGTGAAGAGCCACCTAGTCCAGACTGCTGCTGCATTTAAGCATAAACTTGAGTGGACTGATCCCCATGTTCCTGTGTGCTGGAACGTGAAATTTCTGCAGAGATGCTGAGCAGGTCAAGGGCATATCTAAGATGGGAAACCTCTGGTTTGAGGCTTAATATTTTTTTAATGCAGAACTCTCTAAGCACTGCCAGGAATGTGCTTTAAAAGGGTCATGCAACCAGCTCCTGCTGTGAAACCTAATTTGGAGGAGAAAGGCCACTTAAAGATTGACAGTCCCAGGCTTTCTGGCATGGGATGCCCAGAACAGGTTATGAGGATAGAGAAGGTCCTAGAGAAGAGAATGCTCCAGGGAGACCTTATTGTGGCCTTTCTGTATATAAAGGGGTCTTATCAGAAGGATGAAGAGAGGCTTTTTACAAGTCTGTAGTGATAGAACAAGGGGCTACAGCTTTGAAATGAAAGAGGATAGATTTGAGTTGGATGCAAGGAAGAAATTTTTTTACAATGAGAGTGGTGAGACACTGGAACAGGTTGCTCTAAAAAGTTGTGGATGCCCCATCATTGGGAGCATGCAAAATCAAGTTGGACGGGGCTTTGGGGAACCTGATCTAGTGAAGATGTCCCTCTGCCCATGGCAGGGTGTTTGGAGTAGCTGATCTTTAAAGGTCCCTTCCAACTAAAAGCATTCTATGGTTCCTCACTGAGAAGCCCTACAGATGCTGTTCCTGAGCTGAAGCAGAAGCCTGCAAGAAGGTGTCTGGCATAACTGGGATAATGGCTGCAGGTATGCACAGCCCCCTTCCCACTACAGCCCTGAACTAATGAGAGCCAAACACGGCTGGGTCTCCTCTTGCCAGCCTGGTCAGAAGCAGAAGTTGATCTGTTCTGGTGATCCTGCACCTCCCTGCTGATGAGGGTTGTTTAAGGTTTAGAAGCTTGATAGTGGAAATCTTGATTTTAATCTGGTACTATGCTCTTGTGGGCAGGTATTTCTTGTGCAAAAGTCGTGTAGATACTTAGGGAGGTGCTGTCCTCTGGGTAGTTATTGAGTCTTCTGAAGGAATGTAAGTCCTGCAAAAACTCATTGTACTGGTGTTTGCCTTCCACTGTAATCTTTAGCCTTGAACTCTTAGTGAGTGAAATGTCAGCCATAGTTTGCCGGTTGCCTGCCACTTGCAAGCTCTCTACTCATCTTGGGCTTTCTCAGTCTCTTCCTGTCTGTGCTGATGGCAGGTCAGCCAGAAGCCTCTGATGCCTTGAGGCAGATACCACATGGACCATTAACCTGAGTTACAGGAAATATAATTGAATAAAAAGAGCATTTTCTATGTGGAAGGGTTGCAGTGGGTGAGTTTAATGGCTTTCCCTCTGAAGCAAAGTCAGGGCCAGAGTGGTCTGGCTCTGAAATGGATATTTTTTTTTTCCCTGAGCTGTAAGTTCTGCTGGTTTTGCCCTCTCTATTGTTCTCCCTCATGAGGGCAGGCCTACAAAGCAAGGGATGACATGGAGCCAAGGGTAAGATGTAAGAGCTGAGAACCCATGATTCTTTGGATTTGTTCTGGTTGCACATGTGCTATGGCTGCCTGGGCACATGTGACAGTGCAGCTGGATATAGCAAGTGTTTGAATGATGGATGAGAGAAAGGAAGTAATTATATTGTAAAACCATATAATCAGAGAATGGTTTGGGTTGGAAGGGACCTTAAAGCTCATCTAGTTCTAACCACCCCTGCCATGGGTAGGGACACCTTCCACTAGACCAGGTTGTTCAAAGCCCCATCCAGCCTGGCCTTGAACACTGCCAGGGATGGGGCATCCTGTTTGGTGCTTTAGAGAGTTACCACTCTGTGAGAAGTGTTGTGCTTGCCTGATCTCAAAGGATGTTCTTCATCCACATAATCTTCCTTACTCCTTGGGATACAAGTATGCATGCACAAGGGAAAGGGAAAAGCAAGTCCTATCAGACTGTTGACGAGCAGATGCGTACAAGGTTAAGAAAGTACAACTTAGGCCTCTGGAGCACAGCTGCTTTGAGACAGGCAGATGACTTCCCTTCTGTGCAGCTCTTGGATGTGTAAAATGAAAATAAGGTTACTCGTATGCTGTTCAAGTCACCTAGCTGGAACTCTGATGCACATATATGTTGCCAGGTCTCTGTGTGTGTGGAGCGGGAGAAATCCTACGTGCTATGCAAGCTTCATCTTGTGTCTTGAAGCAGGAGGTGTCAGGCTTTTTTTGTACTTGGCAGTTAGGATTTAGGACTTAATTCCTGAGGTGGAGCTGTAGGGTGAAGCTGTGTAAGGAGAAGCACAGCCACCTGTGCCGCAAGTCTTCTCAAGATGGCCTGTGAACAGAGGGATGTGAGAAACTGCTTCCTCATGGTGGAAAGTCTCCATTTGTTCTAAGGTAGCCTTATTGCATTTCTAGTTCCCTTCTCCTCCTGGCTGCACTTGGGAATCTTCCCCTCTGCACAGCTGTTTGTTTAATGTTTAACTGTGAGTGTAAAAAGGACAGTAATAAACCCAGCTGTTGTGCCTGTCACTGCACCCCTGTTCTAACAGCAAAGGCAGATGTGCACTATCACAAGTCTGGTTAACAGTTACTTGAGCAAATAGGATTACTTATTTTAGTATTGTTTAAACTGGAGTCAGTCAGGATGGGGAAAAAATGAGCACACTCATGAACATCTCCAATTCAACAAACTCAACTTGGGAGGGTGGAAGGAAGGAGAACGGATTTGCTGGGGCTACCTGTGCAGTGTGTTCCTACCCAGAAGACTGAACAAGAGTTGTAGAATGTTTCTGGTAGATTTACCATTGACTGGAGAAACCTTTCTGTGACAAGTCAGAGACCCTGCTTAGTTCTGTGCTTGCAAAAGGCAAAAAATGAGTGTGTGGGAGTACCAAAGGAATTCGAAGTGAATGACTCTTTCCACCTCTGTAAGCTCTGGTAGTTGCTAGTGGTTGATTTGCTGAAAACACAAATACCACTAATATTGTGTATGTGAGTATCTCCTGTACCAGGTCCCAAGTGGCGTAGGACAGTATTATGAGGAAGAAGACTGCTGGAGACAACAAAAGCTCTTCCTAAGTTGGAGCTCAGGTCAGCTGAAGGCATGATTTGGGAAATACTTGATTTCCTAACTATAGTCCAGGTATCTCTCGGGAGAACAAGTTTCCATCTTTCCATTTGTAAGCAAAGCGGCTGTAATCCAGACACAGCTCTTGGACATTCATGCAGTGCATCTTCGTTGTGATAAGCCCAAAAGCTGAGCAGTGGGCTTGCACCTATATGATGAGCTCAAGCTGAGCAGTGGGCTGCACCTATTTTAGGAGAAAGAGTGGGTGATATTTTCCTCCTCTTCCTCCTCTTCCCTTGCCAGGACTAGGAACAGAGCCTCAGTATGTTACCATATGGCCCAGCCTTACTGTAAGCTGTGATTGGCAGTAGATTAAGCTGTGTCTTCTTGTGCCCTGTGAGGATGGGTAGCTCTGGAGTGCCTCTTTCCTATATGGAGTCTGTCTGAGGGATGGTAAGTAAGAAAGAATTACTCTCAGTGAATGAGT